TTTACTCATAATGGGTAACATATTATTATAGCCATTAATCTTGAAACCTATAGCGGGAAAAATCCATTTAAATAAGCATAAATCCTATGTATGCATTCAAACATTAAATTAGGTAATCACCTACTTGGTGTCCACTTTACCATCACATATTAATATATTATACGTTTATACCTATGCTGGTTGTCGACATTTTCCCTAGATAAAATGTATCTCTTTCAATAGATTCAAAGAAGTTTAAATATTACATTTGACCAAAACAGTTGCGTGAAAGGCTGGTGAATTGATTTTAACACTAAAATAATTTTAAAAAAATTAACGTATTTAGCATAGTAGGTATTTAAAACACAATAATTTTTATAGATGTACATAACACAACAGATTAATGAAAAGTTGAAAAACACATATTAAATTAAAAAAAATCTGATGGTTTCGAGACATATTATATACCACGCTTTAGAAATAATTAAATTTACAGATTTAAGTAAATTAAGTCATAAGTTTTCAATATTCAGTTATTAACCTTCGCAGTTTGCACCTAACACAATATAATCAGAATTTTAATTTTTAATTTCTACAAGTTTTATTTGAATAAGAATTTAATACTTTTGAAAGTAAGACTATGAAATCGTTTAATCAAAAATAAGATACTGAAATTAATTATGCAATCGTTGTTTTGATAACAGATTTACTCAAAGACAAAGTTTTTGAAACTAAGAAAATCTTATAGGTTGGTAATCAAATTAAAACTATAAAGTAATTACATTTTAAATATTTATTCAATTTTGATTAATTTAATAGCTCGTTTACCTACTTCAGACAAATGACAATAATGTATGAATGTATGATTTTTGAACGTAAGGACAAGGAGATCAAATCATTAAAAGAAGAAAGTTTTGACTTTGTAATCATTGATGAATGAGGTTTACTGAGTGAAAATAATTCAAGGAAATTTAATCAAGAAAGTATCTATTTAAATAAGTGAAAATGCAATAATAATTTATATTATATTAAATTGATAAAAAAAATCCGTGCTCTCTTAAGTTTTTAACAGAACCAAAAATAAAATTGGTTTTCTGCAGATTTTCAATTTATACAGTATTATTTTACTGGGAGTCTGTAAATAGTTACCTATCAACAACAACCAAAAAATAACGACCGACCAAGTGTTTATAGATCCAAAATTTAAAAATTTATATATATATGTTTTTTCCAGAAATTTCGTACATATCCAATCAACAGACACTTCCTCTAACATCAGCTAAGTCGTCAGCGTCGAGGAAAGTCATGACTCCCGTTCATTTCTTGACAGACATGGACGACGAACAGTGTCGGAAAATTATGTCGTCGAACACAGTCAGAAAACAGAGCTCAGGTGATGGTTATAATAGGCAGGGTTTCCATAAGGAGGATGGTCTGTTGGACCTGGAACACGTTGAAATGAATCTATAATTTTTGACATTTTGAAATTTTAATAGGAATACTTATTTGATATAAAATAATATTTTATGGTATAAATGTACCTATTATTATATTATATTAAGTATAAAATGTGCATGGGACACTCGTATCCCTTGTATTGGATTGTTTTATATTGTAAGTTTTGTATAGGGCCCAGTAACTACGATTTTAGGGGGGGCCGTGACATAAAATCTCACGGGGGCCCCTAAAATGTTTAAAATAAACAAAAGATAGCTCTAATAATTGGTCATTGGTCCGTAATTCGTGGAATTTATTTCTAATACCAAAATAATATTAAATTCATATTTATTATTTTATTGTGAAATTTAAAATTTGTAATTTAGCATACGAAAAATAGGGTAAGTACTGTTGGTTAAGCTAGGGCCCATGGCGTTTTCCCACCTTGCTAACCCTGTATTTACACCACTGATAGGCCCCTCAAAAACATTTAGTACAGAGGCCCAACGTTTTTTGTGATGGGGAGGGGGGGCTGTTAATAGGTATACTTTTTGAAGACGTCACATCATGATAAACAAACACCTGTTGAAGTAGGTATCTCAAACACTATAGACATATTTAATTTTATAACACCGCAGGTTTAATAATAATCAATAATATAACACTTAAAAAATAGATAAAGAAAAACAAATTTCCTGTGGCCGTAAAACGATTATTGTTATAAAATTACGTAATAAAAAATATTTTAAATCTCTCTAAGACTAGTTGAGTATGTGGATTAAAAAAAAAAATTTAGCTGGTATTAATTTTTTTTCCGATCCCATCGCGCTTGCCATTTTTCCGATAGCAAATGTGGTAAACATTATACTCTGGACTCTACGGAGTAGACAGGTATAGTTTTCTTAGTCGTATTATGATTTTATGTGAGTAGGTAATAACCTGCTACCTACCTACCTACTTACTTAAAAAATGTGTACAGTGAAAAAACCTTCTAATTACTGAATACAACGCAAATGGTTTTCATTAAATATTTTCAGATTTTATTTTATACCTAATTTAAAAAATATCAATGTTTGAAACTTGAGACCCTCACCAATCATTTATAATAGTGATAAGCAAATTTACAAAACAATTTTGTTGATATTTTAGGGGTATTTTAAACAACTCGAGATATTGCATTTTTCCCGTTATCCTATTGAATTTTCAATCGTTTTGACTAGTTTCTTTTCTAAATTTATTAGGTATTTAAAAAACAATAACTGACTTTTTTATCCTTCTTTTCTACACAAAAATAATTATGAACATGTACTTAAAATGGGTAGGTAATGTCACTATTTAAACATCGGTAGATATGACTAATGAGTGTTTACGTCTTATGCGTGTTACTTTTTCATGAAGTTGCGCAATTTGCCACTACAGGTATTATATTATAAGCCAAGTAGGACGTAAATAATGTTATTTTTACTAGGTGACTAGTTGGTGATATCATCGAGTAGGTATCGTTGAATGTTTTTGTTTATGTTAATTTATTTACTAAATTTAAAATACGATTTAATTTGTTCGATATATACAAATATTATAATATGGATTTAGGATAGGTATTGTATAGGCTGAACTAAGTACTTACCTACATCATCTTCAAAATGTGTATAGAGGACATAGAATTCTATATATTATTAACATATTATTTAAATATTTTATTATTAGAGTATGAAAAAATAATATTGATAAATCAATTTTATATCAAAATTAATGGAATATAGGTACCATAGGTACAACAATATGGAGAGTAAATGTATGGTACCTATTTATATATCTGTGTACTATACAGACTGCTGCAGTGCATATGTAGTAAAAATAATATACTCTTTTTTTTGGAGATAGTTTTAACATACATTTAATTGGCAACAAGGTTTTGACTTCTAATGAATTTATAAATACTCATTTTTACTCAAGCTATATTATAATACATATATTGCAAGTCATTCTGTTACACATAATATAACAATGACATTTATGTTAAAATAAATATTATTTTTCAACACAATCTCATTATTTAATAATATTTTCCTAACAAATTTTACATTTTATTAGAATTTAATATTTAAAAGGACGGATTACACTTGTTCCACATTGATTAACCGACACTTTTTGTTGGTCAACAAAAAAAAAAAAAAACATAAAATGAAACCATGAAAGTATTTGTCGATCAACCGAAGATGAACCAGTGTAATATACTGGCTTGAAAGGAAATGATACCAGCATATTGTGTTGTCTCCGTCTTATAAGTACGTAACATGTAAATTTTACTATCAGCAGAACACGTGTAGGTACGTTAGTTTAAAAATTGGAGTGAATTTCTTATAAAATCTAAAGGTAAGATTATTATCCAGGCAATCTTTTTATTATACTTTAATTTTAAAGCAAATTATGAATATTTTTAAATTGTAAATTGTTTGTACATCTTAAAATACTCATAACTCGCTTCAAAATTAAAACATAATAAAAAGCCCATGCGGTTGCCTAGATAATAATCTTACCTTTAGATATTTTTATGAGGTATATTCACTCTAATTTTTGAATTAACTGAGCTACACATGTTTTGCTGAACGTAACGCACTTTTAAGACGGAGACAACACATGCCGGTATCATGTCCTCTTAACATAACTGTTCATAAACTTTGTAGTAGAAATTACAATGATATTTTAGTAATAGAACCAATAATATTTTAAAACACTAAATAATATTTGCATTTTTAGAATCAAGAGGAGTACGAAGACACTACAATTAAGTTTATGTTGAAAATATAAGAAAATATTGGAAGAATAAAGAATGAAAATATAAATCGACTGTTGGACCATCATAGATTACTTTTATCATTTAACATGTTTTATACATAAGATATATATTATATTAAATTATGTTTTTTTCATAATAATTATAAACAATGTTATATTTAAAATTTATTTATAAAAATAAGTTACATATTAAGAAAAAAAAAACATAAATAAAATAGAATGGCATTAGGAAATTATACTATATAATAAACAAAAAAATAAAACATACATATTTTAATTTTGTTGTCATTTGGGTAACATCAACTCTGTAATGGAACAAAATTTTAAATAAATAACTGCTATCAAAATATGAAGTTGTTGTTTTATAATACCTACCTAATTATTAATGACATTAATTAGTTTGCAACATGGTAAATATTTACAATAGACTAAGATACTTAAAACATCATTGCTTTACTATAAACAAATATACATCCACATTGATTCAGACAGCCAATTAACATTAAGTTACCTACAATCTTAATTTAGTTACAATATGATTAAATGATATTGTGCTCGATACTAGCTACCTTGGTTTACAATTTCCAAATAGGAAAAAATAAGTGAGAAATTAATATTAATCGATAAATCAACTTTAACAATAAGAACAAGAAAACATAATACTCATTGAGACAAGGCTAACATACACAATTAGAATTCCTATCTCAATTCATCGCAGGTTAACATTTTCTATTCTGGCCAATTGAAAGCCTAACAATTTTTGATTTACACCAATTATGTAGGTACTAAACGGGTGATTGCTGTTGGGATTTCTCACACTCCTGTTTCAACATCATTCGATCCAATTTGTCAACGGTAGCATTTAACTCACTTTCCCAACCTTTGCGATCTTCCACGCCTTCAACCTCTTCAGTTCTTTTACTCTCCATCATTAACGGTTTAGTGGCAAGATCACGTACTTTTTGACGTAGTTGTTCCAGTTCCTGAAATGAAACAAGACAATATAAAATGATTAACCTTACACTCAGATGTGGTTTATTGAAAATATTTATATACCATTGTCACTTGGGTATCATCATCGAAATCCAAGTCATCTGCATCACTCAAAATAGAACTAGTATCCATTGATAGACTACCTAGGCTTCTTGAATCACATTTATCCAAATTCCAATCTAAATTGATATCTTCCATGCCATTGGCATCCTTTTTGTTATCTAGCTCTTGCCAGCTGTTGACCATAGGAGAAACTTCTGCACCAACACCAGGTTCTCGTGGACCTTGCAACGAACATTCCTGTTGAAGAATATATCAACATTGATTAATTTTTTTTCAAGATATTTAAGATAAATGTTGAAATAAAATGTAAGTACCATAAGTTTGTTGTTTTGTCGTTGAACATGAATTTCTTCAGAGATCTGTTCAAGCCTGTGCAAACACGCAGAATATTCTTGTTTAGCTCGTTGCACAGCATATCGGATTTGAATAATAGTATCCTTTTGTGCTGCTAATTGACCTTCACATAAATATTTTTCTTCAAAATATGGACGAGACTTAATAATGCTACGTTTAAACTTTTGCTCCAACATTTGAACCTAAAATTAAATGTTTAATTTAGGTACATACCTAAAAATCAATATTTTAAATGTACCTTTTGTTCAGCAGCTTGGTAGAGAGCAGCTTTTCTTTGATGCTCGCGTCCACTTTCAGTCTTTTGATTTTCTGCTTCTGTTACCTATAAATAATAATGTTATTGATACTTGACTGAAATGTTTATTATGCATTTATATAGTCATCAAAATTTAAATTTGTAAAAGTATCAGGAAGAGGTAAAAAAAAAAATAATAATAATTAATAATACACAATACTCAATGAATACTATGATTTTTACTATATTTAAATACCTTTAGAATAGCATTATTTAACATTTCTTGCCACGCACTATCAAATTTCCATTCATGTTGTTTACTAAGAAACCGCGCCTCAGCTAATGCCACAGTTTCTTTAGCAGCTTGATGAATTTCTAAAATGTATTAAATACAATTTTACTTATAATACAGTTAAGACTATAATCTAATATTTTTAGTTTTAAGAATTATATATAGTTAATATATTATTTATTTGTACTTATTATACTTGTAGAGTAGGAAGGAAAAATATTTTTATTCTCATAATTATGTATAAATGTATAATATACCATCAAAAACCAATGGATAATTAGCTAATAAAACTGTATAATATTATTATTTATTATAATATTGAGTAATTTAATAGCTTCATACTGGTTTGCTTTGATAAAATTACAAATGTTTTAAAAATAACTAGATATTATTTATTTTTAAAACTTGAAACAAAAACAAAATACAGGACACATTATAGTTTTAAAATGATATTCCTAGTAACTGATTAAATCTGTAACTATAATTAGTAGTACATAGTTATGTTTTCGAACATTTAATTTCTAGCCATTTAGGTTTTTTCATTAGAATAACTTCAATTCTTGGTTAATGATTATTGGACAAATTTAACTTCCTTTCATTAATTAAAAATGAATACAGATAAGTGATAACACATTCTTATTGGATATAAAATAATCCAAAAATATAAAATAATTAAGGAGACATTATTAAATGAGCAAAGTACATTAAAAGTAGTAACACATTTTTGTTTTTAATTTTAATTTTAATTAAAAAATGTAATGTGCCTAATGTAGAGTGTATACCATTTTATACATTTAAGACATAAAACAATATTTATATTCTATATAACATATTATAATTTTACAAGCCAACTATAGAAGGTTTACCTATTAGATTACAAATTATTAATAAAATCTTTTTTTTTCTACTATTCATGATAAGATAAAAATGTACTTGAAAAGTCTCTTATTTGAAATACTGTATTGATTGATTTTAAAAAATGTACAGTATACAAACCAATATTGTAAGGATCAATATTATTTCTCTGGTGCATGTTATTGTAATACAGCAGACCACACAGTAAAGTACCTACTACAGTATTCAAGCGTTTGGTATGTATACAATATTATAAAATTAATTAAAAAATGTATTCAATAAATTACATTTTAATATGAATATTTAACATGAAGCTTTGTGTTTATAAATTTTAATAGGAATATAACATAAAAATCTTCAACTTATGTAATGTAAGTACATATTTGTAAATAATAGTTAAGACAAAATAACTAATAGGTACAAAAGTTAAACAACTGAATGAATCATTTTAAATGTGTATAATTAAATTTCTACATAACTTATTTGCACAATTAATTATTTATAACAGGTGGTATATTTCTTCTTTAAGGGATAACTTTATTTTTTAAACTTATGTAGTTAAGTATACAGTTATGACACTCCAAAGTTAGTATATAGAGAGTAGGGAAAATGATAAGAGTGGTTAAAAGGCGGTTACCCTGTGACCAACTTGAGGTGGAGTTGCATAGCAAGTCTATGAAATTTTCTTTTTTTTTGTTCGAGCGCAGCGCAGCGAGCAAGTGGCATCACTGGCGTCCCAGAAAAAAAAGGAGTGTCCCATGTCGTTATAATATTATTAGAAAAGGTGGACACACATTCATCAGAAAAGCAGAATCAGTATTGCTGCTGATTTTGAACAAAGCATCTTAAAATTTAAAAAAATAATACTATCCCACACAATTATGCTTGGAAAGAATAATTTATTATTGGTTTTCAATTTAATGTTTAATTCATATAAAGCATATTGATTTTTATATAGGTTACACTATTTCTTCGATATACTCTAATATTATTAATAATTTTGATTTTGTACGTTAGAAAGATAGATTATCTATACCAAGTATAAAAATGTTTCGTTAATTTCATGTTGAAAATATTTTTTAGATTTTTTTTCTATTAAATATGTATTGATTTAATGGTACTAAGGAAAATTCTGAAAATTTAAATTTTTATTAATCTTACCATTAGCTCTTTGGTATTTTACAGCTGCAATTTGACATTGTTGCTGAGAATGTTTTGACATATTAAGTGCATCATAAAATGGTCGAGCTTTATCGATACATGAACCTAGTTTGCGGGCTCGTACCTTCAATCTCCTAGAAGCTTCAGCCATCAACATTCTAAATGTTGTATTTGCTTCCTAAGATAATATAAAATATAGGTTAATACACATAATAGTTTAAATTTCTAGTAGAAATTTTTCCATAGGTAAATTAAATAATTAAATATTGTATAAAATGTATTATTTAGTACAAAATAAATCAAATATACCAAATTAAGGAAATCAATAATTTAATATTACAAGTATGGCATAAATGAACTATGGTTGAATGATAGAAATAAAATAAGTTGATAGGGTACTACTTATTATCAATTTCAAATATTTATTATTATTTGTTTATATTATTCTATCTAGCAGTAATTTACATTTTAAAAATAAATAAACATATTAACATTATAATTTATGTATTAAGCCTAACTTAATAATATAATATGCAATAGATGCATGAAACATAATAAGATATAATCTTTCAACTGTTAAATAGTTTAGTTTAAATGCGCGTATACTTACATCTAATTCAATTTCAAGTTTGTTTATATTGTCTGTGGATGAATTCAATTTTTCAAGTTCCAGCTTAAGGAAAAACAAATAAATAATTATATTTTATCCGTATAACTTACTATGAAACCAATCATTACTTGAATTCTAGGATCTAAACTATCCTCCTCGTTGTACAGGGATGTGTCAGTCTCCTGATTACACTGTCCACTAGACGAGTCCATCGTTAAAACAACAAATGTCTTTGACTGTTTAAAGCATTGTAATTCAAAAATAATATTATTAAATTTAAATTTAAAAGGATAGTAAAATAAAATAAAAATAAAAAAAAAAATGTCAAACAGTAAAAACTAAATTGACCGTACCAATAATTGTATTAAAGTATCTTTTATTATTATTTTTTTTTATCATGATAAAGGAATTCGTGATAACAAGACGATAATGAAACACAAACATCAAACGTAACCGACGTTGCGGTTTAAACCGCGTTTCCCTTGACCTCGACCCGCAACTATACAAAGCACAAAGCACAAAGACAAACCGTTAAGGTGGGTTTCCACTACATACGTGTACGTTCACGTGCATAATTTGACCGGATACGTTCGCTATGAACGGTCGCATAAACGTTTCCCATCGGTTGATCGGTTAGCATTGGTAACATATTAGTTACCTCGTATATTCTTATGTTATCAAAATCGTTAGTCCGTACCACTTTACTACTTCATTCTCTTCACTCTTCACTTTCGTATACTTTCATTTCAGTCTTCAATTTATTTTAATTTGAATAATTTAATATTAATTTTTAACGTAGTACGTCCGGCTTGTACCTATCGTTAATTTCCATGTAATAATATGTATGTAGGTATTTAAATTAGTAATTGCCATTGCCCATCCTATCACGAATTCGGCACGACGATGGCCGATGACATCAAATAGATTTATTTTTTCACATTATAATATTATCGTTATAGCAACCAACGGGCAACGATATATTTTATAAGTACCTATGGTACCATACCTATCTATTACATTATGATGTCTGATTATTATTATAATATTATCATCGAGTAGGTATAAAAACGATTAATATTAGATATATAAAAATAACATTGTGTCTATATAATACTCATTAAAAATTATTAATTACAATTTACAGTATCAGTCTTGGTAGTGGTTGTCTTATAGTACCGACCATAGTATTGTGTAATAATAATTATACCTAGGTACTTACTTTGTCTAACCCCGTTGTTTATACTTTGTTTGCAGAAAATAATACGGAGTAATTCGAAACAATGGATAAACCCTTAATAGGTATGTTACATTCTCATAAATTGCAATATTGTGATCTGTGTTTGTTTTTTGCTTGTTTGCGTATAAAATATGTACATATGTACATAACATTATATAATATTATCATAATACACTATACAGTAATTGTCTTTGTATGTCAAACTATCAACTCACTCAAAGTCCCAACACATTTTTTGCCGACTACGAAAGGTTATAAAAACCGGACTATGCCCTCCCCTATATAAATTATTCATGCTACGCCTGTGTATCCATGTGGGTACATAATATTGTGTTTAGGACATATTTTAGGTAACTAATAAGAATTGTATAGTAAAACGGTATTAAAATGAATCATAAAATTAATAGGACTAAGGTGATACCTATCGGCTGGTTCTAAACACTATTTATACGGTCGGGTGAAAAGGTACATAGCAAAACACTTTGTACTATTATATACGTAATTGGGATACGAATTGGGAAACTTGATGAACCCCATTTCCCCCTCCCCCTCCCCCATGAGCACGCCCCTGGTACTTAGGCAAACTAAGTAACGATAGGGAAGCATGCAGAACTACAGCAAACCAATCAAACGATTGAAGACGTAAAGAAGAAGTTATATACCTAGTAAGTATACCTATATAATGTAAAAATTAAAATTAAATAAAAAGTCGATTAAAAATGTTTTAAAATATTATAGTATATTAACAATAGTGAAAATTCAAAATAATCAGTTTTTTTAATTAGCTGGTTACATAACAGCCAAATATTACTTTGTCTTATAATACATTTTTAATTTAAGAACTTGATGACCTAAAAATCTTGAAATTATCAAAATAATCAAATAATCAAATATAATTACCTTTACCTACCTATATATAAGCTTTAATAATTGTATTTTATTGTTATTAAAAGTTAGGTGGGAGGGAAGGTAAAAGTAAAAATTTTAAAAAGAGCGTAAATCAACAATCATATTTTACTAGCGTCTGAAGTTAAAATGTTGACAAAATTGATTATGTAAAAAGCCAAGAAAGCCACGGCCCACGAGTCATAACTTATTATAAACATCGAATTATATCATAGGTACCTTATAAATTAAGTAAGTATAAACACGATACACGAATACCTAATCTTGAACGTTTCACTGTATAATTGTTATGTAAAGAAGTTCACGAAATTGAAAATACCAAAAATATAAGATATGTATTATGCTTACCTTCATTAATTATTAAACCAAACATGTTGTTTTATTTTTATCTTATCCGTATTTTGTTATTTGACTAAGCGGTCTACTCTCAAAAAACGGTATACAGATAAGAACTTATCTTGTATTTTTATTCTTCCGTAATATTATATGCCTCAAAAAGACACAACTTTATACTTACTTTAACTATGAATCGGTGTATACTATGCAAATATTACAATATTGAGTCCTAGGATTATTTTTAGCAACTATACTTATACAGAGGCAACCAGCCAACCACGTGGTATCATTCATATAATTTCAAATTAATATTATAATATAACAACAAATTATATAGGTAGGTATATACAGTCTAGTTTACGAGGTGCGACTAAATCATATATAATAACTTCAGAATAAACATAAAAATAAAGTTTTTTTAAAATTTTTAACCATACCTATAGAATTTTTTGCTACAGACAGTCCTTTGAATATGGGAAGGAAGATGTTTTTTTTTAAATTCTGACAGAACTCAGTATTAATAAGTATTATATTTTAAATTTCACGGCACTCAATTCGTTCTAAAAGGTTTTATTGGAACTCGTCATAAATGATTCTGTTTAAGAATTCTGGGCTTTCGTAATATTTTTAAAATTTTTCCTGATGATTCTGAATGGACTTGGGACATAATAATGTTTCTTGCTCTTGAAGTGTTTTTAAGTTGTGCTTGAGGTATAACTCGAAAAACACATAAGTCGGATTTATTTTTATTTCCCTTGAGACTTGACTATATATTACACAATATCGTCAATTTGTGTACGAAATTAAAAATAGTTAAGGATATAAAATTGTAAATTTAGATTTTTAATAATTGTATAAGTACTCAATTGTAGAAAAAAACTTACAGGTCCACCTTCCTTGATTCACTTGTAATTTATGTGTAGTAAATGTTTTGGGTAAATCATTTCAATAGTTGATTGTTTGTAATCGTAAATGAATCTTTGCAATGAAAACAAAACATTATTTTGATTAAAAAAACCTGTCGATTTATGAAGTATGTTTTAAATATTTGTATAGCCGTATATAATAAGTGATATATATCATGTATGCAGGGCCGTATTTGGACAATTTCCGCCCCGGGGCAACATATTTCCGCTGCCCCTTCCCCCTCCCCCACCAAAAAAAAGATACTATTTCTTAAAAAGTAAGGTGTAACTATTTTGTTGTATACAATTTTGGTACAAAGAAAATTGAACCAACTACATAAACATAATAATAATATATTAATATGCTACTCTCACTTATATAATATTGGCGAATTAAATGTATATACAATATACACTATAATATTAAATACATATTATGTGCGTAATTTATTATTGTAAAATGTATTATGAATAATATTATATTATGAACATTAAACAAAATTCCTTCTATTATAGTTATTTATTTATATAGGAAAACCAATGTCAATTTAAGAAAATAGTTTTAAGTAAATAATGTATCATTTATTATTAAGTATTGTATTTGGTATTAATAATTATAATCTAAATAGGTATATAAATAACAATATATAAAAATATATAAAAAAAATGTATAACTTTCTCCTGGACTGAAGGTTTGAGAATAAAATTAAGGTGGGTAAGTGGATGTCGCTCTGCTGTACTGTAGGTCACAAGTGGGGCACTGTATAATGGATGGTATTAAATTTGAATGCAATGATATAATATCATTGTATAAGAAAAACGATTCTGAGCGAAGACGGTATGTCAGTCTAGGTTTAAGTCGTTTAAGACAAATTATATACATATCTATGGTATTAAAAAAAAAATTGACTTTAGGTACTTATAACATGTTATACATCTACATCAATAACAAACCCTGATACTATCATAGATATATAATAGTACACTTTAGAAGTTTCAAGTAGGTACCCACGAATAATATTATATAATCACAACAAAATAACTAGGTTTTTTAATATGTAATTTCGTCCAAATTTGAACATAAATGACTATAAAAATAAACTGTGATTGTATATTTCTTAGGTTTTTCGGTAAGAGAATTAACTACTTACGTGGAATCTTGTTTTAAATTTTCAATCCTTAGCTATAAAAACTGAACATTTAATAATTTATTAATTACGATGATTAATAATTTTCGAGATTTTGAAAAATTCTGTCAAAATTCGATGTTTAAATGCTTATAAAAAAAAATTGTGCCTATGTATTTTTAATATTTTTCAACTGATATTGTAACAATATATCAGGAGCCTTGTATTAAATTTTTACACTTTTTGGCCCAACAGATAAAACTTAATTTATTATCATAGAAAAAAAAACTAAAAAAATTGAAAAATTAAAATATCCGTAAACAGCTCAAAAAGAGTCAAAATATTTTCAAAATTGTATGGTGTATAGGAAATGCTAATATAAAAATTCAGTGAAATTTTCATGTATCTATAGTTATTCGTTTATGAATAACAACAAAATAAGGAAATCGAGTGAACATCCATTGTTGTAAAAATTTGAATTTCAAACGCTCATAAAAATTTAATTTTACTGTCCGGTAGAGATTTTTTTATTGATAAAGGTAGACAAACTTATGAGTAATCTTGTATTACATTTTCAAATCTTAGATTTAAAAAGAAAAATTTTTGCGAATTCTTAACTCAAAATAATTTGCTAATTTTCGTGATTTTTGTGACTTTTACATTCAACATTTCCTAACGATGAATCAACGCCGTAAAAAAACAGTATACTGCTTGTAACAGTTCAAAAAAATGACAGGCTTCTTCACAACAATTTGCTGCACAACTACCAACCAAATTTAGAGAGTGTGCAGCACACGGAGAATACTCAGCTAGTGGATTAACCTCCCTGATTCTTGCCGTTCTTACGTTCAAAAACCCAATCTATTTATATATAGTATGTTAATAATATAATTTATATTATTTTCCGACAAACTGATGTTAACAATATTATACCTTTTCGAGCTATAATAATGTTTTTAATAGAATGTTAAAATAATAATTAAAATTATGTAAATTTATTTTTTTTTTTCAACAGTTAATATACAATAATAATTTATCAACATAAATTTGCCGCCCCCTAAATGGACTAAACAATTTGCCGCCCCGGGCAACAAGGTACACTTGCCCCCCCTCAAATACGGCCCTGCATGTATGTTATAAATGTGAGTAAAACTGTAAAATACATTCACAGTAAAATTAATAGAAAATATTATGAACTAAATACCTCTCCGTTTTTATCGCACTAATTGCAATGTTCTTATCTACATTTATTTTTAAAACTGGTACCTATTCAGAAGGGATTGAAGTAAGTGACTATAATTTTGACAGTGACTAATGCAATTATTAACTTTCGTTACAAAGATGGCTAGTTATAATCTACAATAATGCGCTTACATATTTTTATTTTTATTATATTACGTCATTTTACTTTGACTTATGGACTACGCAGTGGCGCAATCTGGGGAAACCCCCACGCTTAAGATGTATTTGAGTTTTTATATCTGGTGATACAACCCGAAACCCCTACCTAGCCACCACTTCAATAAATTACTGCTTGCGACACCGGCATTGGATAATATTTAAGTCGTATCTTACGCTGCTTCATTTGTATAATGCTGAATAATAATATTATATTAAATAAAAATGGATGACATCATTTAATTCAATTCAAAAATAATATAGGTCATTCGTACTTACATTATCTCAATATTATTACTTATTAGGTAGTTACCACCTACGCAAAAACCACTTCATATTATGTCCGAGGATACTTATTTGTTGTAAAATAAATTATAATGTGAACTACTT